TACGCTGTTTAAAATTTAAATACGTGACCTGATTAACTTGACATCATCGTCATAAATCTGATCATTTGATTTCTAAAAAAAATTAAATATATAATTATACACTTTTGCCATTAAAATCCAAGTTTTTATAAACTTGATAAGTTTATAAAATCCTCAGCGAGGATCAAATTGTCGTTACATCCATAACAATGTATATGTGCAACAATTTTCATTGTTAAAATAATTTTTCGCGAGATTTTAAATCCCATTTTTCGTAACGAAATCACGTATCTCTCGATGCATCGATCGATACCGCCTATTATTCCCTATAAAAAAAAAAAAAAAAGTTAACGCATAGGAGGGAGAGGAAAAAAAAAGCCCATCAGTTTTGAACGACACAACGATTACACAAGTTTCCAGAGCTTTTCCAATTTTGCCTGCGTAACAATGACTAAGTGAAAGCACTTACCGATTCAATTATTCCGACGCTCTAATGCACAGCCTCTCGATTATTAGCGCCAACGACGCTATATTCAATCAACGTTCCCCCAATTAGGCGAGCATCGACGCAACCATTAAGACGATCGCCAGTTCTCCATCCTTACGTTTATCATCGACAATTTTTCTTTTCTTCGCTCGAATAATAAATCGCGGCTCGCTCGAGAAAAAGACTCGATCGCGTCGCGGGTTGGGTTAATAAAAACGGCTCGTGATAAAGTTATAACAGTCTCTTTCGACTGTGAGAAACGCGAACAACGAACCCGTTCCGCAATAAACTTTAACACCCTTCCCCTCGTTTTATTGCGCTCGTCGGCTCGCCGTTCTATATAGAGGGCGATCCTTGGAGCCACGAGGATTCTCGGGGATGATTTCGTCGTCGCGGAAAACATCGTAGGATTTTCGTATCGGCGCGACAGAATTTGTGGAATGGGCGGAAACCTTTGGTTCGAAAGGATTGTTCTTCTCTGATGTGACGAGTAATTCGAGTTCGAAGAAATTCGATTGTCGCACGATGCGGGGGAGGAGAGGGAGGGGGCTTTGTGCAAAGGAGAATTTCTTAAGGAATAATGTTTCATGAGGAGAGAGAGAGAGAGAGAGAGAGAGAGAGAGAGAGAGAGAAGAGAGAGAGAGAGAGAGAGAGAA